GCATCAGACGTATCCGTGAGACAGGTATGTCATCGTGTTGGTTGTTGTGCATAAATAGCTGCGTTCATATCGACACTATCGAACAATGGTTATTGTGGCGATTCATATTAACCAAAATAAATTTTGATCGGTGATTCGACGCTACGCAATTAGTATTACTCAAGCTTAAACCCATTGTCAGCATTTAATCAGCATTCAAGAAATCTTATTGTTTACTTTGTTGATCTCGAAACGATCAGTTTTTTTGCCTTCAGAAATCGTTTCGTTGCTTCACTCAACTACCCGATAAGATCGGCGATGCAAACTTCGAAACACCATCGCCGAAGTCCTCTGTCTCGACAAGACAGTCCACTTTTGCGAATCCACCACATCATCTGACGAACTCGGTGACAGTTGAAACCGACTTGAACAGTCAATATTCCTCGAGTGCTACCGCCACAACAATCGAGCCCACTGACATCACTGATCACCGCATAAATAACGACCTTCCTCTACCACTTCCAACAACATTCAATAACGCAGTCTTCATGAGACGGCATCAGAATGACCGAGAATCTTATAGTATACTGTGATTACATGCGGTGCTGACAAATTAATGAAAGAAGTGATATGGGGGGTATAAATGATATGAGTGTTTACATTAAACAGCTGTAATATTTCATACTTGCACTGAGATGTTGAATCCGATGCGATTCTCGGAAGTATTCCATTCACTTGAATGAAAATATTTTATTTGAATGCTCTCATTCACATATGCCTAATTCGCATGCATATCAACAATTCATGTGAATAATTTTAAAAAATTGTTAGTGCTTCATTAAAATGAGATTTTTGAACGTTTTTATTTTCGCCGAACACAGCAATTAACTTCATTTTCGAAAGTTTTTGATGGTTTTGAAATGGTACATCTGAGACAATCTCAAAAAATGGGATGGACGTTTGCTGGAGTGGAGATACTTCAAAAGACGAAACTCTCCGACGTACAATCCCCGGTCGGTAACCTCATACCGTGCGCCAGATATGCTGCATCGTTGTCGATAGTGCCGAAGTCAACAATGAAACTTGCATTGAGCGTCATTCCGCCCATATTCGTCACATCGATCATGAACATTGTTGCTCCCTCACTGAATAATTCTTGAATAAGTAAGCGTATCGTAAAAAAACGAGCAATTTCATGAGACCTCGTCCCGTTCCGGGTCCTCATCCCTTTCTTCGAATTTTTTCTTAAAGCAGGACATTTTTGAGGTGGATGATGTGAAGTTTCATCACCGACCCTGACAATTGTTCGTTTTCGCAGTGAACTAGTGTATGAATTGATTGATCACCTGATTAGGTGTGGAAAGAATTGTGCATCCCAGTTGCGATAGAACGATGTTGTTACATA